AATCAATATCATAATCCTCCCTTATTTCACCATATCAAAATTACATATAAAATCCGTTGCGGCGTGTAACCCGATCCTACCATATCAAATATGTATCTTCCCTTATTCCACCCATTGCAGCGTACAACCCGATCCACAAACAAAAATTATTAAATGTAATCAATCAACAACTCAATTCACGAGAATCTCAACGATTAAAGAGTATGAAAGCAAAGTCATAAAGGAACCCTTACCAAATCAAGAAATGCTACAATAAATAAAAAGCAACAAGACAATCCAAATATATGACAGTTAAGGTGTACAAGTAAGACAAGTAAGGCAAGTAGAAATTAATCATGGAATTAGGGAAGAAACAAATATTTCAATACAAGAGTAAATAAATGACAAGTAACAAGTTACGACAGAGAAAGCAATTAAAGCATGTGCCAGTTAAGACATGGAATAAGATAATTAATGAAATACGGGAAAGCATGAAAACAATTATTTCGACGACGTATATACACTCGTCACCTCGCATATATGCCATTACACATGTAATTCACATAACATATAGTTCAAGGGTCCCTAATTCTCTCAAATCAAGGTTAGACCCAACACTTACCTCGCTCTACAATCAAATCAAATCTTAACTAGGGCCTTTCCTCTAAAATTTGCCTCCAAACCAATCGAATCTAAACAAAATCGACTTAATATAAACACGTAATACTAGAAAAATCAATTATAATACAAAAATCTAACATCTTTACACTTTTCCCAAAAAGTCAACCCCGGACCCGCTTGGTCTAAATTCAAGATTCTGACCAAAACCCAATTACCCATTCACCCCTAGCCCGATTATGTGATTAGTTTCGAAATCCTATCTCAATTTGAGGTCTAAATCTCAATTTTACAAAAACCCTCAGTTCTTCCCAAATCCCTAATTTTGTACCATGAAGGAGCATAGATTAAGGTTAGAAATCAATGGGTGTTGATGGAAATAGAAGAAAACGAGTTAAAGTATACTAACCTACCAAATGGTGATGAAATTTCTCTTCAAAATTGAGCTCTAATGTGTAGATGGTGAAAAATGGGTGAAATCTCGATTTTTGGAAGTTTAAAAGACTGGGCGTAAGGTGTTCATCGCATTCGCGAGACACTTGACACGATCGCGAAGCAGCAGCAGCCATGGCTTTTGCATTCGCGAGTTGTCCTCCGCGTTCGCGATAGCTCTTCCCCCTGGCTATCGTGTTTGTGACCCTATGATTGCATTCGCGAAGAACAATCAGTTGATCCCCCTTTCCAGGCCCATACCCTTCTCGTTCGCGTTGCTTTGGTCTCGTTTGCAAAGGGTGATCCCACAATTGCTTCGCGTTCGCGACCCAAGCCTCGCCTTCGCATAGAGAAAATCCACCCCAGCCCAGGTTAATCTTCGCGATCGCGAGAGTGGCTCCGTGATCACGAAGAAAGATGCAACAGACATCAACATACTTCAGAAACCAGCATTCTTCTAAGTTCAAAATTATCCGTAGCCTATCCGAACCTCACCCGAGCTCCTCGGGCTCCAAACCAAACATGCACACAAGTGTAATAATATCATAGGAACTTGCTCTCGCGATCAAAACATCAAAATAACACCTAAAACTACGAATCAGACATCAAAATGAATGATATTTTCAAAGAAACTCAAGAACATGCAATTTTATAACCGGCGTCTGAATCATGTCAAATCAACTCCGTTTTTGCACCAAAGTTTGCAAACAAGTCATAAAAACTGTAATGAACCTGTACCAAGTTCTGGAACCGAAATTCGAGCCCGGAAGTAACAAAGTCAACCTACTGTCAAACTTAGGAATTCTTTAAACCTTTAAATTGCTAGTTTTCAATAAATTATGTTAAATCAACTTAGGGACTTCCGAATCCAATTCCGGGCATACGCCCAAGTCTCAAATTACGATACGGGCCCATCGGAACCGTCAAAATACTGATCCGGGTCCATTTACGTAAAACGTTGACCTTAGTCAACTCAAATGAGTTTTAAGGAAAAATTTCACATTTTTCTTTCGTTTTTCACATAAAAAATTTCAGGAAAAAGACAAGGACTGCGCACGTAAATTGAAGAAGGCTAAACGGAGCTATTCGAGGGCTCGGAATATATGAATGAAGGTGAAAACTGAAAATAACCTATCGGATTATCACATAGATACACTAACACTTATGATGCAGTATGTTCTTAATTGGGTACCCCAAAGGGGACCAACCTCAGATATACTGCACTACTGCACTAGTTAATACCAAATCAAGAACATGCATGAGCTTTAGACAGTTTGGAAAAGCAGAATTTTCTTTAAATAACTTTTAGGGAAAAAGAAGAACCAAAAAAAGAAAGAAGAAGAAAGTAATGTAGAAGAAAGAACTTAGACAGGAAGTAAAGCTAAAAAAGGAAGATGGGGGGCCAAAGTATATATTCAAAAAGGATTAGTAACAGGGACATGAAAGGTCGGTTTTAGTTATCAGAATTAATAGGGCAGCCTGGCACGCATTACAAAGGTCAAAAATCCTCCGCGTTTTTCCGATGCCTGGACCATAGGTAAACGCGGTATTTTAAGTTTGCCCATAATATATGTAGATGTTATATTCGAATTGAAGTGAGCAATAACCAAAATTATGATTTGAAGTTTACGGGTTCTGATATTTGAAAATGGGTTCGTAATTAAATATTTATATATATTTAATATAATTATAATAAAAATATAACATTTAAGCAAAAGTGATCCACACCTCATAGGCTAGCTCCGCCTCTAAATTTGAGTCAACTTTATGGTCGAGCTAGCTGCTAGGTATTTGTATTTAGACCACCAAAGATGGTGATGAAGTGATAATATTTTTCATATTTAATAAAAAATATCGACTTTGAATCATGGATATAAAGTCACTTTTGATAGAAAACGTTTTATCTTTAAAGTGAAATTTCCGGACACAAATCATTATAGGCCCCAAGGTGGACATTAGGTGGAAACCAAAAGAATAGGTATTGGTATTTAGAAGACGCTCTGAAATATTGCCCAAATTAATTGATAAACCAAGTAGAGATGCACTTGCATCAAGTCTAAGTTACGAGTTTAGCTCCAATAGCAGCTTTTCTATCAAAAGAATCTGAACATTCAATAAAGAATCATAGGAGTAACTCAAAGGTTAATAAAACCTCTTCAAATGCTCCTATTGTCCATGAACAAATTAAAATACCTATTACTCTGTCTCTTTTAAATTATGTGAATATATTTGATTGGACAATTTTTTTTTTAAAAAATGAATAATTTTGAAACTTATGATTTAAATAGGCCATAATATTTATAAAAATATAAAATCTTGCTATAGAGGACAAAATATGAAGTTTAAATTGAATTGTTTTCAAATCTAAAAAAAGCATTCTTTTTTAAACTAAACGTAAAGAGTACTACACAATACTGTCCCAAATATCATAATACAAGTCATGAGATGATCTAAACAGTGGACTCAGATCTTAAAGCAAAAGCTAGAGTTGCGGTTTAGATCTTCATCGATGATTCCATTTGAATGCCCGCCTTTAACGGTTGCCATGCAACGTAACTTTTTATTACTTCGATTTCATCAGAAATCAAGATATCCAAAATTACTACTATAAGTATTGCTCAGCATAACTAGCACATGCTCTTTTTTTATTCTGTTTCCTATTTGCATAAAATAATATTAGAACAACAACAACAACAACAAATCAGTGCAATCTCACGAGTCGGGTCTGGGGAGGATAGTGCGCAGACCTTACCCCTACCTTGAGGATTGTATTGGGTGATACCCTTTTTTGCTTGAGCCCGACCGGGTTGGGTCCGGTCCGGGGCAAGTCGGGGCCATCGAACCCGACCTGGATGCAAGGTAGAACGACGGCCACGTCTACAACCGAGGTCAAGTCATTTCGAGACCGCTGCAGAGCTCGATATGAGTCACCACCGGATGGAGAAACACACAAGGTCGGAAGCCGGACTCGTAACGGATAACCAAGCGTCGCCGGATATCTCGCCCAAACGTGATTTTCTCAACCACTTCAGGCCATTAAGGCGTAATTACAGGGATCCTCGATGTAATTGATTTACCTACCTTATTTTTACCCTTAATCAGAATGTATAAAAGGGGGGAAGACCCCATAAAGAGGGCATCGGAAATCATTACACTACAGTACCATCTCTCTCAATTCTTGTACGCTATCAAGCACAATTGTTCTAAGCGATATTATATTCTGCGATTATTTACTTTAACAACAATTGTTGAGTCTTTATCTTTTATTTTCCTCAATCTAAACCTTTTGTATCTTTTAGTTCACGGATCCTTAAAACCCCATATAAATTCAATTGTTACCCGGATTCCAGGGTAAATAAGGATAGAGAAGCTGTTTCGGATAGACCCCCCGGCTCAAGGAAAGAAAAAGCAATCAATAGAGCAAGATAATAAGAAAACAAGCAGTAACCATAACAGGATAATAAGAGGATAAACATTATCAACAACAATATAATTAGAAAACATGTAGTAGTCAAGGTTGTCAATAATTGAAATACAAGGCTAACTAACTACTACTAGTAGCCTGGGGAAGACACACACTTGATTATTTACTAACCTTTTACCCTAATTTTCGACCACCACATCTTTCTATCAAGAATCATGTCCTTAGTGAGCTATAGCAACGCCAAATCCTGCTTAATAATCTCTCCCCAGTACTTTTGGCCTACCTCTACCCGTCTTCAGACCACCCAAGGCCAACCACAAATAAAAGGCAAAAATGGTAGGTTCACCGTCAAATGGGAGTTGTCACATCCAATGAAGACTTTGAGAAAAAGGATATCATATAAGCTCTTAAAAGATCACTGATCATATGGTCTGTCGCAGTGACATGTTAACTAATGTGGCCGCCGACACACCTCGCCCACAAAATTCGTAGAGCCTCCCCTCCCCTCCCCTCCCCTCCCGCGTAACTGCATATAAATAGGTCAACACAGAGAGGTGGGAAGTTCCCTACTCTTAAACCCATGCACGTTCCCCTTCTTCAATGCTCTCACCTGTCCCCTAACAACACCATTCAATAGTCATCTCTCTCCCCCCCTCCTATATCTTTCCTTAATTTATCCCTAGTACTCCTATTCATTTAATTACCACTACATTTTCAACACTTGTCCCTCCAAAATTTTGGTATCTTGATTTCTTATAGCCAAATACGTGCATGCTCTATAATTAAAGTGAGTAATCATGGGTACTTCTTTGCCTTCATTTTGTGGAGTGCTTCTTCTACTTTTATGTATAGGTTGTCCTAATTTGGTGAGGTGTGGGGCGGAGGATTTAAGTTTTCTTCAATCAGAGTGTTTAAATGTGCCAGCTTCGGAGTTTGTGGGCTCTGTTAAGTCCACCATTGACACTGTCCGTCAAGTCACTTCTATTGTGTCGAAATTCGTCAGCTTCTTTGGTGATTTTCGCCTTTCGAATGCCATTTCTGATTGCCTTGATCTGTTGGACCTCTCTGCAGATGAACTTACTTGGACTCTCACTGCTTCTCAGAATCCCAAAGGTGTGTATGTAAATCTACTGCTTTACCACTAACATACTGCGGCGAAGCAGTTCGAATTTCTAGTCCTTTTAAACTATAAAATTCATAATTAATAATTTGTACATATTTAATAAGCTGGATACGCCCTGCTAACATATAGACCTGCAAGACCATAACTTTAATTTGCTTTTTTTTTTTTAGTTACGTGATCTTTTTATCTGTTCTTTCCGAAAAGCTTTACTATAATTAATTATCTTCTCTTTTTGAGATACTCGCTTTATCTGCTCTTTGCTTTAATTCAATAGATGTTCCTGTTCTTTTTCTTTTCGGTCTTTTTTACTCTTTATTGGAGTACTAAAAGTTGAACCCTTTTGACTTGGATGAAGTTTTTTGCTCCAATTAATCCTCTGTACTATACTCTTTGCCTTTTTGCTAAAATAGGCCAGGTTTTGTTTCTCTTAAATAGTGGAGTAAATAGTAGTCATAAGTATTTTCTTTTAGGTTAACTGTGTAACTTCACATAACTGTCTAAGGAATTTTATACACGGGTAGTGTAAAAATAATTACACATGTAGTTTAATCTGTGACAATAAATAATTAGTACTAATCACTAATGCTTATTATAGAGCTTCACTTGTAATTAGTAGGAGTAACTTTTAACACCTGATTGTTTAAATCTTTTAGATACCATAATGCACATAATTTAAACTCTCCTTCTTATGCGAAGAAAGTACAGTAAAGCACTTCCAGAGTTCCAAAATAAGTAACTGTCTAGCTTGTTCAGAATTTTACTAGTTTTTCCTCAAAGAAAATGTGCATACTTCTCAAAACGTGTTACGTTCATCTTCTATTATCAAGGGTGATTGAGATCTGTTTTAAGTTTTACATAATATTCAAATCTATATTGGGGTCAGCTTTATTTTCACTTTAATATCATATTCCACTATCCAAGAATCCTAGGATAGTACGCTTGTGAAAAATAAATGTCGGAGAGGCTTGGTCCAGCAGTTTGCACGAGTTAGTTTAAAGAAATGTCAAATAAATTGAATAACTGACTTTCAGAAAATTGAATAACTGACTAATTTATTTATTAATTTAGAAGCATAAACATTAGTCCATTGAACATTTTAATAACACCGGTGGTATTATGATCAACGTAACAGGGAAAAACAACAGCACAGGTAATTTAAGTGCAGATTTGAGGAATTATTTGAGCGGAGCACTTATTAATCAAGACACATGCATAGATGGATTTGATGGAACAAACGGAATGGTCAAGAATTTGGTTGCGGGAAGCCTCAACCAAGTCACTACATTAGTCCGTGACATTCTTTACATGGTCCGCCCTGTCCCTAAAAACGCCCCCCGGGCCAATGACGGGCGTGGAAAACCATGGCAATGGTCCCGAGAGAGGAGGCTAACGTCAAATAAAGGAGACGTCAACTCATTCCCTTCGTGGCTTAACCAAAAAGACAGAAGGTTGTTGCAATCTACTCCCAGCACAGGAGTTGTTGCGGACGTTGTGGTAGCTCTTGATGGAACGGGTAATTTTACTCGTATTGAAGATGCTATATCAGCAGCACCGGCATTGAGTACCAAGAGATTTGTGATACATATCAAGAAAGGTATTTATAACGAGTATGTGGAAATTAGCAAGAAGAAATGGAACATATTGATGATCGGTGACGGAATAGATGTAACTGTTATTTCTGGGAATAGAAGTTTTATTGATGGATGGACCACTTACAGATCTGCAACATTTGGTAAGTTTTTAATTTGATTACATTTATTACCTTATCTTAATCCACGCGGAGTACTATATATTTCAAACATCCCCCCACATTTATTTAATGCTGAGACTGTACGCAAAAGATTATAAAAATGCAACTATATATCTGCATTTAAAGATGGCCCATAAGGTATGTCTGTAAGTTGATCAATGTGTCATGGATTGACTAATTACTAGCAGTACTACAATTCAGTAATGGATTTGGGACCCCATAACGATCAGACTGCAAGATGTCCAGATCATGAAAAGATTAAAAAAGATTTATAGTGAAAGTTTTTAAAGATTAAATATCTGCTGTAGATCCACGACACGTAGTGCAGTTAGTATTGTTTACAGTAAAAATGGGATGAGCTTTCACTTTTTTCATTCTAACCATTGGTAATAGGATGTGTAATTTAGTAGAGGATCCAACTTTAACCATGGTTGGCTGACTCACTTTGAAGAAAATTACCAGCGAACAGGGACGGATTTAGGGGGCGTAATGGGGTTAACTCGAACTCCTTCGCCAAAACATATAAGGCAAAATCTGTTTCTTACCTCTATATATTATGTTTTGAATTTTTTTAATATAGCCCAAAAGCATATAGCTTAGTGGTCAATATGAGTTTAAAACCTTTGTAAGGCATTGGTTCAATTCCCGTAGCTATAATTTTTTTTAACTTTTTCCTTTTTGAACTCCTTAGCGAAAATTCTGACTCTGTCACTGCCAGTGAAGGGGGGCTAAAATAGCTAATAATAACACTGCTGGTTGATAAAGATTGGATTTTTTTTCTTCTTAAAAATGAGCTGACATAAAAAATTGAAAAGGAAAAGAAGGGCCGAAAGAAAGAAGAAAAAAGCAAAAGAACTGAGTAGTAGCTCGTGTAGCTGCTACCTGGGTACCTTATTGTGTCAGTGGTGCAAGATCTAAATATCATCGTGCCCACCATCTCTTTCCATTTCCTTATCTCCTACCCGACTTTATTTACTAGTCCTACTTCATTATAATTAGATTGCAATTAATTTCATGGACTCCCACTGCCCTGTCCATCTCCCACCTAAATTCATTAAAAATATTAGAATTATTTCATGTTACTAGCTATTCTACTCCGTCTATCCCATTTATATGAAAGGACTTGGAGTACAAGGGCCAAAGCATCTGAATTCGGATTAATTTGGTGAAGAATCTTAAATCTTTTTAAAATAAAATTTATATATTTTAAACTAGGTGAAAAATATACTGTAAGTCTGTATAGTTAATGAATAAATATATTTAAAAAAGAATTACAAAAATTACAATCGAAGAAAACTTATTTGATTCCTCACATAGTAAAGCTTTTCACGTAAAATGAAACATAAACAAATAATATGATTTTTGCATTTGATTTGATTATCATGAGCTAATGGGCCATTCTTGAGATTGAGTTTTTAGTCTCAAAGATATCTATGTACCAGATTGGCAAATTAAATTGGCAGCTTTCACGTTTTACATGGCCAAAGATAAAAGGATCAACACGCTCACACTAGCTACATATATAAGACGAAAACAAAGTCAGAAAATGATTTGATTCATCCAAGTTACGTACACTAATTACAATGTCGGTGTTCATATGTATGCAGCTGTGAAAGGTCAAGGATTCATTGCACGGGACATGACATTTGAGAACACAGCAGGACCCCAAAAGCACCAAGCCGTTGCATTTCGCTCCGACTCAGACTTGTCTGTGTTGTTCAGATGCGCGTTCAGAGGCTACCAGGACACTCTCTACGCCCATTCTATGCGCCAATTCTACCGAAACTGCGTAATTACTGGCACGGTAGACTTCATATTTGGAGATGGCACGGTCGTTTTCCAAAATTGTCAAATATTAGCCCGAAAGGGACTACCCGAACAGAAGAACACCATCACAGCCCAAGGCCGAAAAGAAGCTGCTGAAACAACAGGCTTCTCCATCCAATTCTCTAATATATCTGGCGAACCAGATCTATTAGCTTCACTTAACTCTACACAAACATTCCTTGGTAGGCCGTGGAAGGCATATTCGCGCACTGTCATAATGCAATCGTACATGAGTAATGTAATTAAACCACAGGGCTGGTTAGAGTGGAACGGTAATATATCACTTGACACATTGTACTACGCCGAGTATCAAAATTTCGGGCCTGGTGCGGGCTTAGGCGCTAGAGTCAATTGGACTGGTTATCATCTACTCAACGATTCATCGCAGGCAAATAATTTCACAGTGGCTCAATTCATTTTGGGTAACTCATGGTTGCCTTCTACGGGAGTTAAGTACACTGCTGGTCTAGCGGTTTAATTGATCTAAGCTTGGGGCCAATTTTAATTACCATATCCATATCCATGTTATCTCCCTTGTTTTTTTTTTTTTGGCTTACCACATCAATTGTTTCTCTACTGATATATATTCATCCTTTGTTCTTTGTTGGTTGCTTTTCGGGCTTTTGGTGAATTTGTACTTGAGACAATTTACACGGATGATTCCTTTCTATTTAGTCATCCACTCTGTACCTTTATCCATTTTACTTCCACATCTTAATAGATCGTGTATATTTACAACATAACCTCTGTATAACAGTTTGTTTGTTTCGGTTTTTTTTGTTCCAATCTTTTCTGGCCTTTTATAGTGATTAGTTGTTATCCACTTATAACATCATTTGATATTAGATTTATTTGGTTGTTACAATTAAAAAAGAAAAAGAAAAGTACCAAAAACCCTCTTTTCTTTCAATATGTTTATGTCATAAAATATAATAAAATTATTTAATTTTATAATCTCAAATGATATTCATATTTCATTAATTAAATTTTTTAAAAAGTTAATAGTACAATATTATTAAAGTGGGGTATGTTTGACTCAAAAGATGTTACACTCTTTTTTGGACAAATCAATCAAAGATGAAAGGGTAAATCCTAGTCGAGATAATTAACTCTAGATCCGAGATGAATAATACGAATTAAAAACATAGCCGAATATAAATGCTGACGTCGATTATGACCAGATTTAATAGCATAAAGAAAGATGCATTAAGTAACAAAAATATGAATAAAGGAAAAGATTCACCCGATCTTCAGTGAGACGGATCTTATTTCTTTCAATAAAGACGAATGATAGACAAATACAAGAACCTTATGACCCTTTTTTGGATCTGATGAAGGTATGGGATCACAGATCCTCTCCTTTCTTTGGAGAGGTGTGTTTACATATTTTCTAGAAAGAGGGAGAGAGAGAGCCCCCCTTTTGGGAAGTACTCCCCTCCTATTTATAAGGGGCGTATCCATAGAAAATCCTACAAAAAGGTACAATTTAGAGGGAATATTCGGTAGAATATTCATTTTGAGTATTCCAAAGCAAACTAGTTGTTTCATGACTGTCCGACCTCGGCCTGTCCGACCCCGGCCTTATGTTTCCGCGTGCCGAATTTATCTGATCTAATTTTGACCCATACAGTTAGTCCCTCCGCTTACTGAGGTCGTCTCGTGGTCGAGCTCGGTAAGCGGACTTCATCAATCGTAGTTCGAGAAATTCAGATGGGGAGGTCGACTAGTGTGTATCGCGGCTGAGGGTGCCGATCTTTAGGTCAAAGTGGTATCCCCACGGGCTGAACTTTAGTAGAGTTCGATCAGGGCCAATGACTCGAGTGATGAGTCGATTGAGAAGACGGTAGAGTTTGGGAAGGCCGTCAAGGCCGGGATGGCGGCATCGGAGGAGGTCATTTGCGTTCTCGGATCTGGACGGGCGAGTAGGCCGAATGTGAATTCGGACGAGGTCGAAGGTTGATTCGGACGAGGCCAAATTGTTGATTCGGACGAGGCCGAATTCTTCTTTTTGGCGATGGCCCTTGGCCGTAAGGGTCGACCCCCTCTTTTTTGGCGATGGCTCTTGGCCGTAAGGTCGACCTCTTCTTCTTTGGTGATGGCCCTTGGCCATAAGGTCGACCTCTTCTTCTTTGGCGATGGCCCTTGGCCGTAAGGTCGGCCTCCTCTTTTTTGGCGACGGCCCTTGGCCGTAAGGGTCGACCTCCTTTTTTTTGGCGACGGCCCTTGGCCGTAAGGGTCAACCTCCTCTTTTTTGCGACGGCCCTTGGCTGTATAGGTCGAAGGTTGATTCGGACGAGGCCGAATGTTGATTTGGACGAGGCCGAATATTGATTCGGACGAGACCTAATTCTTTTTTTGGCGATGGCCCTTGGCCGTAAGGGTCGACCCCCTCTTTTTTGGCGATGGCTCTTGGCCGTAAGGTCGAAGGTTGATTCGGACGAGGCCGAATTGTTGATTCGGACGAGCCGAATTCCTCTTTTTAGCGATGGCCCTTGGCCGTAAGGGTCGACCCCCTCTTTTTTGGCGATGGCCCTTGGCCGTAAGGGTCGAAGGTTGATTCGGACGAGGCCGAATGTTGATTCGGACGAGGCCGAATTCTTCTTTTTGGCGATGGCCCTTGGCCGTAAGGTCGGCCTCCTCTTTTTTGGCGACGACCCTTGGCCGTAAGGGTCGACCCCCTCTTTTTTGTCGATGGCTCTTGGCCGTAGGGAGTTCCCTGGGAGAGTCCCAATTTGCTTAATTTTGCTTGCATTGGAGAATATGATGCATTTCTTGGGGGAGTCCCAGTTTGCTTAATTTTGCTTGCGCTGGGAATATGATGCATTTCATGGGGGAGTCCCAGTTTGTTTAATTTTGATTGTATTAGAGAATATGATGCATTTCCTGGGGGAGTCCCAGTTTGCTTAATTTTGCTTGTATTGGAGAATATGATGCATTTCCTGTTCGTGTATCTGGGAGAATGCTCCTGCTTCTATTCCATTTAGAAAAATAGTCAGTTAAACCAAATGAAATCATTCGTTACCTCGATTTGATCGGTCGGCGAGTGGAGAGGAGTGGCCACGTTTACTCCTCTGGTTATGCTTTTAGTGGCCGCTACCAGTTTGGCAAGGCCGTCTGCTTCGATATCCTGTGCTCGAGAGATTTGATTGAGTTGGCATTCGCCGAACTCGGGTAACGACTTGCGAATCTCGGCGTGGTGTTCTTGCAATATTTGTTTCTTGATTTGGAAAGTCTCTGTGACTTGATTGACAACGAACACTCCGAAATATATCCATGTTTGATTGTTTCAAAGTTGTGGAGTGGCCGCAGAACCAAACGCAACACAATCCGATGAGAAAGCCGCCAATCTTGGTGCCTTTTTAATAAACTGAATGGAAACTTCCCCATTATCTGTATCACCAACTTTAACAGTGGACGAAATTACATGGATTTTATCGACAGTGATATTAGGAAGACCCATATGAACTGTACCAATAAAAGGAATATGCTTTGATTTCTCAATTTTAGGTGGGTCAAGGGGAACTAGTGAGGACTCAACCATTTGTACTAGAAAATCCTTCGCAAAATCAAGACCCTTATTTGATATGTCCACTGAGATGTAGCCTTCTTCATTGGATTTAACATGGTTAGTTGAAGAAATAAGGAGTAAAGATAGAAAAAAAGAAGGAGAAGACATAGTCTGCCATTGAAATTTTTGAGGAACCCTTTTTGGTTGAATTAAATGGAATTATTGATGAGATTGAGATGGGTAAAGTTCAGGATTAGACACTTAGCTTTGATTTGAAGAAATGTTTGGTCTGTCAATCGACATTACATTTGGTTGAAGGTATCACTCATCTGGATTGAATATATTATCCATATATCTTTTAGACATCTAGAGAAAACTAGAATCTTAACTAGAAAATCCCCACAGACGGCGCCAAAATGTTTGACTCAAAAGATGTTACACTCTTTTTTGGACAAATCAATCAAAGATGAAAGGCTAAATCCTAGTCAAGGATAATTAACTCTAGATCCGAGATGAATAATACGAATTAAAAAATATAGCCGAATATAAATGTTGACGGCGATTATGACCAGATTTAATAGCATAAAGAAAGATGCATTAAGTAATAAAAATATGAATAAAGAAAAAGATTCACCCGATCTTCAGTGAGACGGATCTTCTTTCTTTCAATAAAGACGAATGATAGACAAATACAAGAACCTTATGACCTTTTTTTGGATCTGATGAAGGTATGGGATCAATATGAATAAAGAAAAAGATTCACCCGATCTTCAGTGAGACGGATCTTCTTTCTTTCAATAAAGACGAATGATAGACAAATACAAGAACCTTATGACCCTTTTTTGGATCTGATGAAGGTATGGGATCACAGATCCTCTCCTTTCTTTCGAGAGGTGTGTTTACATATTTTCTAGAGAGAGTGAGAGGGAGAGGGAGAGGGAGAGAGAGAGCCCCCCTTTGGGAAGTACTCCCCTCCTATTTATAAGGGGGCTATCCATAGAAAATCCTACAAAAAGGTACAATTTAGAGGGAATATTCGGTAGGAGCATGTGTTATTAAATATCAATCCTTTCGCTTTTTGGTTTTACTCAAAATAACTTGGTTCAATTAGCCATGATTAGCAAAATTAAACTTGCTAATCAAATAAGCTGACAGATATTTTCAGTATAGATTTTTTTTCTTTTCGACTTTCTTAAATATATGAAAAAAAAAAAAGAAGAAAAGGAGAAAGTGACAAGGAGCTAAGAGCCCGTTTGGATTAGCTGATCGTAAATAATTGATATGCTGAAACTAATTTTTTAAATAAGCATTTACATGTTTGGATAGACATGCTGAAACTGATAATAAACAGTTGATGTGTTTGGTAGAAAAGTGCTGATAAACTGTTCTTTTATTAAAATGACCAAAATATCCTTAAAACTTTACACAAATTATAAATTAAAAATTTTCTTTGTAAAAAAAAGGATGAACAACAAATATGGCACGAAGAGAAATTTAGGAAATTTATTTTGGGAAAAATATTTTTAAATTAAAAAATATTATTAAGGATAAACTAGCCTTAATAAAACAAAAAGTGCTTATAAACTGAAAAGTCATAAACTGAACTTATGACTTAATGGCTTATTTTAGCTTATAAGTACTTTGGATGTTTATAAGCTGACCCGCTTTTAAGCCCGCTTTTAAGCTTATCCATACACCCTCCAAACCAACTACATTAATTGAACATTTGAATAGCCTATAGTAGATACAGATTTAAGAAGCACGACTACAAGTTGGAATGGACTTCCATGAAAGAATTAATGCGTTCGTTGTCTTCTCATTGATTGAAATCGAAGAAAAGGGAGGGTTGTACGCGGTTTCCATGATAAAGCCAAGGAGCAATACATGTTTCACGTGGAAATTCCTTTGTTATCCTCTTAGGTAGTTGTGTGGGCTTCGCCTCAACTTTTTCCGAAATTTCTCCGTGATGTTGACGTTCAAGAAGTACTACTTGTGCTATGTCATGTCACATTTAATGGAGTCCTAAAGAATAATACTTCATCCGTTTCAAATTAAATGAGCTAGTTTGACTCGGAACGAAGTTTAAGGAAAAAAAGAAGATTTTTGCAATTTGTGGTCTTAAAAGCTTAAGGGGTAAAGCTTTGTAGGGCCATGACTTTTGTGTGGTTATAAAAGCTTCTCATTAAGGGTAAAATGGGCAAAATGAGTAGTTTAAAGTTGAATTATTTCCAAATTTAGAAATGTGTCATTTATTTTGGAACAGACT